ATGAAACTCAAAATAATAAGTTAAAAGATAATTTGAAATTCAATGAAAGCAATCAAATATATATCAAGGATACTTTTAATTAAATACTGAAAATATTTATATAATATAATAACTGATGTGTCAGATTATATTATGTTAAAAACAACAGAAATCTCTATAGTACAGGTGGGATTATACAATGTCAGTGTCATAAATGAAACAGGTCTGAACAGTACAGGTTTAGTAATTAGTTCCAAATTCACGCAATAATGCTGTAGTAATATAGGAGAGAGTAAAGAGCTGACAATTGTGTGAGATTAAGAAATGCTTACACCTCAGGATAGAAGTTGAATGAAAATAGAGAAGAAAAATGAAGCACAATTGAAATGTACAAATAAATTAGATAGCAGCTACACATAATGTGAAAAAGTCATAATTCTACTCTGGTGTATAGTTATTTTGGCTAATTTCTATGTGTTCCTCAATTGCATTATGCTATAAATGGTCATTTCTTTGGGACTTTATGGCCCATTGCAACAATTAAAGGCACATCTGTGGTATCCAAGATAGAATTGACCTAGGTATTTCACATCCTCTTGAGGGTGATGTCAGACTTGGCAGCAGTATACACACTTGTCATCATACATAACCACCATTAGGATTGGATAGACACTCCCAGAAGTGTAACCTGCAATCTAAATCCCATATGCCCATTACCATTTCTGCATAAAGATCCCTAATATTTGGCTTTCCTCGTGACTAACACTACAACTTCCATGACTAGACAACAGATTTTTCCCTTCAAAAGAATCAAGTCACAATTTTGTTGCATTTATGAAGTTTACAAAAATTATGTTATATTTTATTTTCTTCCCCAAACAGAAAACATTGCTAGAACTTAGGACATCAAAAATATATGGAACTTAAAATAGCTCTCAAAATATTTCTTTATTTCCTATTCATGTATACTGTCTCAGTCTCAAACTTCAATAGTTCCAAATTTGTTCTCACTGGTTTTCCTGGCCTAGAAGGATATTATTTATGGTTTTCAATCCCTTTCTCCTTCATCTATGTCATGGTGTTCTTGGGAAACTGCATGGTGCTCCATGTCATCCGGACTGAGCCAAGTCTCCACCAGCCAATGTTCTACTTCCTGGCTATGCTGGCCCTCACCGATTTGTGTGTGGGGCTCTCCACCGTGCACACAGTGCTGGGAGTGCTGTGGGGGTTTATTCAAGAGATCAGCCTGGATTCCTGCATTGCTCAGTCCTATTTCATCCATGGTCTGTCCTTCATGGAGTCCTCTGTCCTCCTGTCTATGTCTTTTGATCGCTACATTGCTATTTGTAACCCTCTACGCTATTCCTCCATCCTAACAAATGAAAATATCATGAAAATTGGGGTAGTCATCTTATGTAGGAGTTCTTTACTCATTCCTCCAGTCATCATCCGCCTGAGGTTCTTAAATTATTGTCGTCCTCATATCCTCTCTCATTCTTTCTGCTTGCACCAAGATTTAATCCGAATGGCCTGCTCAGACATTCGCTTCAACAGCATTTATGGTCTGGCTCTGGTGATCAGCAACCTCTTGTTGGATGCAGTGTTCATCATTATCTCCTACATCCTGATCTTGTACACAATTTTAGCCATTGCATCCAGGGAGGAGAGAATCAAGTCCTTGCAAACTTGTGTGTCTCACATCTGTGCTGTTTTGGTGTTCTACATCCCCATCATTGGTCTGACCATGGTGCATCGCTTTGGAAAACATCTCTCCCCACTGGTTCACGTTCTCATGGGCAACATCTACATCCTTTTTCCACCCTTGATGAACCCCATCATTTATAGTATCAAGACCCAACAGATCCGAAGGAGAGTTCAGAGATTGTTCTACTTGAAAAGTGCCTAAATTTTAAGACTTAACATGAGTGTGTTTAGAAATCAACAAGTGGAGTTAGAAGGGTGAGAATCAGTAAGTAATGAAAAATAGATTTTCTAAATTTTATTTTAATGATATTATACATATTGCAAATAGGTTTTCTATACCTTTTCTCACTGTTATCATATTTATGTCAGCAAAATTATGAGATGTTTATTGATTTTATAGATGTGAATGTGCACATACATGTACTGAAAGTCATATTAATGTATGGGGTGGATTTGCTTGATCCAGACCTTATTAGAACCTGTTGAAGGAAGGCACTATTGGATCTACTCTGTATTAACAAGGTAAATTTTGGTGATTAATACTCTTCAAGTAATTACCAAGAAGTCAGATATAACTTAAATTTATTCTTAGTACTGTATTATTTATTCACATGGCCGTATAATTGAGAAAGCATAATAGGGAAACTGGAATGTTCAAATAATTTATAGTGAAACAAACAAAAAATATTAATGTTGATTTTAGATTATCCACTAGTGGACAATATATGTACTCTCAGCCTATGAACAGTAATGAGCCAGAGATATAAACAATGTGTAATTGCCAGAATAGGGATAGATTTTTGCAACTAAAATCTTTTTCAAATATCATGTAGCATTAGAATGCAATTGGAAGCAATTTTAAAAACTTGATTTGAGTCCAAATTGTTGTCTAATTTTGCTTAAATCCCTGACCCAACCTAAAAGAAAATAATATGCATAGATTGTGTCTTTGATGAATTAATGCAAATATGTTTATAATTTAATCTTCTTGTCATTAATGGGGAAAATATTATTTTCTGTTACATACATTAATATTTTTAAATGAATGTTGGTTAAATTATACAACAAATTCTGAGTTGGTACTACATGATAGGATTTAGGTATATTATCATTTTAGTTAGTTTCAAATCTCATTTTGCCTCTATGATTTTTTAATGCAGTTTTTAAATGCTTTAACCATCATGAAACATTTATATGATAAAGTAAAATTGTTCACCCTTGTAAACCATGTATAATAAAATGTATAAATATTTACATTTTTGTGCCTTAAATGGTCTTGAAATAATTCTGCAATAATGTGTATCTGACGTTAGTACTGTTTTTAAGGCAAGTTTAGTATAATTACAATTATAATTATAATTACAAATAGTACAGCATCCCTGTTAGATAATATGT